TCTCTCACCTGCTGCAGAGCCGGTGGTAGACACCGGTAGTTTGGGTGCTGGCTCTGGAGTCTTTTCGCCTGCTGGTCCTGGAGTCCCCAAGGCTCTCCCTGCAGCCCCGACTGCCGTCGCCCCAGAAAGCTCGAACACTGCAGTTGCTACGGTCCCGGCTCCTGTGCCTGCAGCCCGCCTGGGCTTTGCCACTGTTTCTGGAGTCCCTCCTGCACTCCCCGCCGTCCCTCCCCAGACGCCTGTGCCTGTGCCGACACGTGCTGTCCCGGAGGCTCTTCCTGCAGCCCCGACCGTTGTGACCCAAAGCTTCAACACTGCTGCTGTTCTCCCAGCTGACGTCCCTGCAGCCACAGCCAAGCCTTGCCTGGAACGCCGACCAGCCTTTCTGATGGATCCCACGCAGAACCCTGCTCGGTCCCTCTCCACGTTGGGGCACTCGGGTAGCTTCAGGCAGGACAACAAGCTCTTCGATGATTTGTCTCCGCCCGGAGCAACGGCGGCCAAGGAGGCCAAGGACAATCCTGAGACAACACCTGAGTCGAGACCGGCCAGCAAGAGCAAGACCACGAAGCAGGTGGGACCAACCGCTGTCGATTTGTTTTGCATGGGTTGTATAGGGTTTAGACGTTGTATGTGTTGCTGCAATCATGCCTCCTGCAGGACCCAGATGCAGATGCCTTGCCCGTCCTCACTCCGGAAGCAAAGGCGAAGTACGCAAACTACTGGACAGGCTACTTCAAGAGATCCAAGTCCTCCCAGTCGGAGAGTGAGCTTTCCGTGCCACCGACCCCGACTTCGGTGGCTCCCGGCACGCCCGTGGGCATTGTGAGACAGGATTCGCAGGAGATGCTGGAGGGCCTCTTGCAGAAAGCCCGAGCAGACCCTGCTGTGCGTGCATTGCTGCTATCCACCTTGCAAGGCATGGATTCCTCTGCGCCTGCAGAGGCCGCATCGCCGAAACCAGCCTCCCTGATCAGCACCGCTCCTGAGCTTCCCTCGAAAGCAGCCACCCCGAGCCCGAGCGGCGCCGCTCCTGAGCTTGCGGGGCCTGCCGGTTCCGGTGGCATGCCGCAGGCTCCGCAGGCTGTGCCTTCCCCTGCTACCGCCGTGCTTCCGCCGATGCCAGGTTCGACTCCGACAGTGCCCGCTGCAAATGCTCAGAACTTCGCAGTTGCTGTGCCCGATGATTTCAAGTGCTCCAGCAAGACGCATCCCAATGCATGGGCAAAGTACAGTCGTTTCGTGCTGCGAAACGAAAACTGCAAGGAGCTGGCCAAGGCTTGGCAGAGCCTTGGCATGAATCAACCGACGCTGTTTCTGCATTCTTGTCACTGCAATAGACCCGATGGACTCCTCCTAAGGGCGGGTGGAGACCAGAGATTGGCGATGTTTCAGAAATGGGTCGCTTCCGGCGGCCGCGGCCTGGAGCTCGAAGCAGCCGTGCAGATGAAGGTCATTCGCGAGACGGAGGTTCATTTCTTTCGAACTTTAGAAACATGTGACATGTGGTTACATCTGCAAAATCATGGGATCGACATCTGATTTGCATGTTTGCTGCAGGAAGTCGACACAGGCGACTACGTGACCTGGGATGCCATCTTAAGCCACTTCGGCGGAGACATCAACAAAAGCATCGCCTTTGCCGAACGACGCAGGGGTGAGCACAAGGGGACCGGTGTGCGCAGATTATGTCATTCACATGCCTCGTTACAACCGAGCGATTGATGTGATGTTGCACAATTTGGCAGGACGAAGAGGGATCGCAATGATCCCTCCGTCGAGAAGTTTCTTCTCTGGAAGGATGCTACGGTGACGGAGAGACGCAAGACCATCGCCACTGGAATGCACGTATGTCTGTGTAATAAAAAAAGTTGGACATAATTTTTTATGTCGATTACTATCTGTTGCATTTTTTGTCTAATGATTTTGCTATTGTTTGGTCTTAGAAATGTTATGTTTTCAACGGTTTGTAGTGAACCGTCGGCATGATCTCGCAAAATCTTGGCTATATTTTTTATGTTGATGATTATCTGGCTTATATTCGTTTAGTGATTTCGATACTGTTTTTGTATTAGAAATGTGTGTGTGTATGTGTATTTCTGTGTGCCTTCTTCTAATCGACATAAAAATTTTTATCGAACTTTTTTAGATCGACATAAAAATTTATATCGAACTTTTTTAGTACAGGACATAAAAAATATTGTCCAACTTTTTTATTAGAGCTGAGGACGAGGTTTGCATCGATGTGGGCTGCAACGCGGCCGATGTGGAGCAGCTCTTGTCGGCCATGGACAATGACCCCATGTTCTACAAGAGACACGCACTGCCGGAGCGCAGTGCAGGGCCGGGCTCGCTGAATGTGAAGGAGGAGCAGATGAATGCTGATGATGGCAAGACTTCCGGGAAAACTCACAAGATCAACCCGAAGGCCACCCCGAAGGTGAAAGCCAAGGCGAAGGCCAAGAGCAGGTTTCAGAAGGACCGGGCAGCATTCATGTTTTCCTGGCTCCTTCTCCCGCATTCGGCTCGTTACGTTTCACATCGCAGGAGATCTACACGGAGATGCCTGACAATTGCTCGTCTGAGCATATCAAGGATTTTGTGTCTCAGTGGATGGCAGCTGTCAGTGACAGCCAGGGCCAGGCTGCGACACTTTGTTCCGAGTTTCTCGATGCATTCGTGAAAAGCAGTTTTGCCTGAAACAAACAGGGTTGTCAGGGTTGGTTGGACACATCTGAGGCTGCAGGACTTGGAGAGCCAAGGGCAGCTCATTGGCTTGATCGAGGCGGCCAAGCTTGGTTTGGCGGAGTGCCGCAAGGAGATGGGTGCCATCAACTTGGACGACGTGGATGCCTGGACCAGGGTTTCCCACATGTGCGAGAAGACCAAGCCGTTCGTCGTCAGCTACAAGAAGCACACCAGAACGGCGCAAAGCTTGTGCCTTGCTCGCACTGTTTCCCTGCTTAACCATGCATACATTCGGAGCGCAGTGCCTTCTTCTAATCGACATAAAAATTTTTATCGAACTTTTTTAGATCGACATAAAAATTTATATCGAACTTTTTTAGTACACGACATAAAAAATATTGTCCAACTTTTTTATTACACAATCTGCGTCCCTTGGAGGATTTCCTCTGCCAAAAGGGAGGCTGCTGGGCCTGCCAAGAAGAAAGCCAAGACTGAGAAGACCGAGGATGAGACTTAGCTTCCTTTTTGTGCTTCGCGATTCCGAAGGCTCCCTGGAAACCAGAATGCTATGTGTCCTTTATATGAATATACATATATACATATGTATGTACATATATAGGGACACCCAACATATATGCATGTAGCAATGGCTCTGGATGAACAGGGAGCCTATGCTGTGATCGACGGCTGCAGCTTTCCTCTGACTTGAGTTTCAGTGCTGCACAAAATTCGTCCATGTGTGGTCGAGAGAGGATGGCCTTGCTTCTGACAAGGAACTTCTTTGTGTGCATGTTTATCTTCTGCAGCTGCGTGCCCATGGAGGGCTTTAAATCTGTTGATGTGACCTACACCTGACCTACACCTACACCCCACACCTACACACCTACACACCTACACACCTTACACCTACACCCGCACCTGCACCCGACACCCACACCCACACCTACACCTACACCTACACCTACACCTACACCTACACGTACACCTACACCTACACCTACACAACCTACCTACCTTATATGCGTACCTACCTTAGGCCTATACCTATAGGTAGCTACCTGTAGGAAGCATGCTGAAGCGTGCTGCGGCAATCGTGAAGAAGTCCCGGGGTCAGGCCGGTTCGGGCACTGCCAAGCCCCGAGGCGGAGGCTTGAACTTGCGAGAGAGCCCGCTCATGCGATGGGCCGCACAAGCGGTCGGTACCGGTGCGAGGGCGAGCTACTTTTCCGAGATCGCGCAGGCGGCAGAGGCTGAGTTCCAGGAACATGGACAGTTGAGCGCCAGTCACTTGGCCTTTATATGGCTCCACGATTGTTGCTGGGAACCACTTGTCATTGATCATTGCTCATTGAACTCAGGTTCTCGATGGGCCTCTCGGTCTGGCAAGAACAAGAATCATGCTGAAAACATGGTTCACAATGCCTTGCAGCGATCGGATGGAGTACACGTGGCAGCACTATGCATC